CTCTAAGGGAACACTTCCAAATGTACTGTACAAGGTTTGCAGTGCCCTGATACAAAACCAAATAGACACTGAAAGAAATGAAAACTATATACCAGTATCCTTTGTGACAATAGGTTAAAAAAAAAAAAAAATCCTGGACAAAATACTAGCAAATCTTATCAGTATACAACAAAAAGAATATTACATCATGGCCAACTACAGTTTACCCCAGGAATGTAAGGTTTAAGATATGAAAAGCATGGTAATTTCCACTGTCTATAGAACTAAAGTAAATACCAAGTGATCATTTCAATAGATGCAGAAGATGCATGTGACAATATGAAATACCCATTCATCAATAAAGACTCAGCAAACAAGAAGCAGAAGATAACTTCTAAAACCTAAGGAAAGGCACCTAAGAAAAGCTATAATATGCATCACAGTAAATGGTGAATTGCCTATTGCTTTCCGAGATCAGGAATAAGGCAAGAGTAGATGTTTTTACCACTTTTATTCAACTCTTGTTTAAATAAGAGGCCTGTGGATTGGAAAGGAAGAAATGAAGCTTTCTTCGCACAGAATGTAATTGTGTACCTAGACTAGCATAACAAATATACAATAATGTGCTTGAACTAAAATTTAGTTAGGTAGACAATACATAGGTCAGTATATAATGAACCTTATTTCTCTATATCAGCACTTAATACTTGGAAAATGAAATTTTGAAACTGCATTACTATACCAACAAAACTTAAAATATTTAGCAATAAATGTAATGAAAGATGTGCAAGACCTACACACTGAAAAAGTACAAAACATTCCTGATGGAAATCAAAGAAGACCTAAATAAATAGATACTTCATGTTCATGTTTGGAAGAATCAGTATTATTTAAAGTATTAGGGGATGGTTTCCATTTTTAGAGGTGATGAAGTTCCAATCAAAATCCCGCAGGTTTGTTTGAAGAAATTGTCAATTCCAAAATTTATTGGCCAAAAAAGTTTTTAAAAAGGTTTGAGGATATATACTACCTGCTATCAAAACTTACTGTAAAGCTGCAGTAATCAAGACAAGCCACTATTGGTGTATAGATACACTTTTAGGTCAATAGAACAGGATAGGGTTTGGAAATAGACCCATACTTGCATATGGTAAATGGTTTTCAGCAGTGGCACAAGCATAAATCATTGGGAAAAAGATAGTTTTTACAACAGATTGTGCTGGACAACTAGATACCTGTGTGGAAAACAGTGAACCTTGATCTGATCGCACTGTACGCAGAAATCAGCTAGCAATAAGTCATTCTTCTAAATATGAGTTGAAAGTTGAACACTTCTAGGGGCACCTGCGTGGCTCATTCTGACCCTTGATTTCACCTCAGGTCATGATCTCACGGTTCGTGTGAGTTCAAGCCCCACATCAGGTTCTGTGCTAACAGCACCGAATGTGCTTGGGATTCTGTCTCTCCCTTTCTCTCTGCCCCTCCCCTACTCACACATGCTCTTTTTCTCTCTCTCAAATTTAAAAAACAAGGTATAACACTTCTAGAAGAAAACATAGAAATTCTATGTGATACTGTGTTGGGCAAAGATTTCTTAAATGGGACACACAAAGCACAAGCAATAAAAAACAAAAAAAAAGTCAACTTCATCAAAATTTAAAACTTCTGCTCTTCAAAAAACAAAACAAAACCATATAGAACAAGAAAAGGCAATCAAGAGACTAGGAGAAAATATTTATAAAACATACCTAACAAAAAGCTTGTATCCAGAATATATACACAATTAAATTATAAACTCAGTTATGAGAAAATATAGCCACTTAGTAAAACAATGTGGCAATTTCTTGGGAAGTTAAACATGCACTTAATGTGTGACCCAGCCAGTTCTTGCCTAGATATTTACCCAAGTGAAATGAAATCATATGCACTTACAGATTTGGTTGTGAATGTTCACAACAGCCTTATTCATAGTAGCCTCAAACTGGAAATAACACAATTGTCCACCTGCTGGTGAATCATAAATAAATGTGTATCCATATTATGGAATACAGTTCAGCAATACAAAGGCATGAACCTTTGATACACACTGATAACATGGGTGAATTTCAGAAACATCTTGCTGAGTGAAACAGGTCAAACACAAAAGTCTACACACTATGTGATTTCACTTCTATGAAATTCTGGAAGGGCAAAACTTTAGTGGTTGCCTGGGACCCAGAGTCTGGGCAGGGAATTGACTGTAAAGAGACAGGAAGGAACTTCTTGAGATGATGGAAATATTTTGATTGTGGTGGTGGTTACATGGCTGTATACAATTTGTCAAAGTTCATCAACCTCCGTTTAAAGTGAGTGGATTTTATTGTACCTCAGTCAAGCTGTTGGAAAAAAAGAAATCCTATTGGTGGGAAGCATTTTTTATACACACTTTAAATTTTTTCAGTAGATTCAAATGGATTTCTTGAGACTATACTATAACTTGTTTAAAATAAGTTGCACTTGAAAAACATAAAAATAGAAAATAAAGTAAGTTGCACCTTGGAGGGAGGGAGGCTTGCTATAAGCAGACAAAGTAATGAGGTGGGTGGGGCTGCTCTGTTAGTGTTCAGAGAAAGTTTTTTCTCAGAAGGGACATTTGAGCAGATACAGATGAAGTGAATTGAGTTCAAAGAAATGTCTTGACGTGTGCCTTGCTCCATCTCTTAATTTCTATCTAGATTTCTGTGGTTTCTGTTACTATCACAAATGAGATCTTTTTCTTATCTGTTGCACTGGCTAATAATAATTCTTAAATTAATCTTTGTTTGCATCCTCAATGGTCTTCTGTCTCCCATTTGTTAATTCCTTGAGGACAGTAAGTATACAATTTCATGCATTGTTAATTTACATCTCTGCTGTGCTGTGTTTCCAGCGTGTGCTTACTTAATGCATTTTCATGGTTTTTCTGAGACTGAGCAGATCCTTGTTGTATCTGTTAATCTTTGTTTTTCCTAGCTCAGTATAGCACCAAAATGTAAGTAGCACCTAAAAAAGACGTAGTAAAGTGGAAAACCAAAGATGCTAGTGCCATTTCACGTAACATATTTTCAGTCTTAACTGTCAAATAGAGCAAGTATAGGATGCAGCACAAGACTGTGTGCTGACACCTTAAAGACCCCCCTGGTGGATGAAAAAAGGTGAGAGAAATGAAAGAAGGTATTCTTAAATCTGACAAGTTAAGAAAGAATGTTGGAAGCAGCTCATTATAGATTAGAAATGGAAGTCTTGGCAAAATTCATTGTTTCATTTGAATTAAAGGTATTCTTTTAGATTCATGCCTGTCTTCACTTGGTCTCTGTATATAAGGGAGGTAGGTTTCAGATGTGAAGGCTTCAGTGTCAGCTGTCTAAATGAAAACATTAGTAGCTGAAGTTCATTCCTGATACCAGCAGATGGCAGCAAAATGCTTTGTTTAAATGTTCTTGCTTTTTTTTTTTTTTTTTTTTTTTTTTTTTTTTTTTTTTTTTTTTTTTTTTTTTTTTTTTTTTTTTCTTTCTTTCTTTTTTTTTTTTTTAAGTCACAGAGTAAATAGGTATTGTATCTTTTTCTTTTGGCGAAGGCCAAGGCAGATGGAATACTCTTAGTTTCTTTAAATGGTAATACAACCTTTGGGTACTGTCAGTTTATACTAAGTGGTTTTATAAATTCAACTGATACAGCTTACATAAAAATGTTAACCTTTTTTACAGGTTTTGTTAGCAACTACTTCTTAATTGTCATTTTTATTCTCCATAGTATTATTAATATTTTATATATAGTTTTCTGCCTCACAGATTTTCCTGAGGGACACAGCTGTCCTAATATAGTTTGGAATGAAATAACATTTTAGTAAACAGTACTTGAATGTTTAATCATATAACTTGGGAAGCTTTTCGTTTGTTTGAAAAACACTCATGAATTTCTCTCTTTCATGAACAAACCAGAAATTAAGGGTGATGTTTATAAGGAGAAAGCATTTTAATCCTAAGTAGTTAGGTCTGAACAATTTATTTTCACGTGAAATTGCTAGCCTCCAGGCAGTGACCTACATAGTAGGAAGGAGCACTTCTTCTACCCACAGCCCCGGAAGGCCAGTGGGAGGAGAGCTATACAGAACTGACCCTTGCTTTCAGGAGAGATTGGGGGCAGGTGACAAGTCAGTGACATAGCAGATAGATTATTGCTTTTCTTCCTCTTTTATTCTTTCCTCTTCTCCCTCCTCCCACCATCCCCTACCCCCCCCCCCCATTTCTCTCTCTCTCTTTCTCTCCAGAAATCAATCCATTTAGGAGAGAGTTTTGGAACTGTTTTAGAAAATAATATTTATACAGTGCTGAGGTTTCTCCGAATTTTTCACCCAATGTGGTGTTTAATTCTTATAAACTCCAAAATTCTTGTAAAACTAAGAATCCAGAATAGTCTTTTATCTTATGAAAACATGATTTATCAAGATCACTTAACATATATCTTACATGCTTTGGAATTTTTACAGACCACAGAAAATTTTTTTTTTCTTTTTTTACCTAATACACCCTAAAACAACATGGCCTGCCAGACCACAGTACATCCGTAATTTAGAGCAGCAGATGTTGCTACACATGCTTCTCTTTAAGACCAAGAAACACAAGAGAAAATAAAATAAAAAGTTCAAAACAGAAGAGAAACATGAAACAATACAGAGATGAGAGAGTTGAGTAGCCAAAAGCAATTGGTTAAATTAGCCAAGAGAGGGGATGTGGCGATCTGAACTCTCTGTTTTTGCCCATCTATCTTTTAAATACTTTGTAAGTCATTTTCATTCTGTTAACCCAGGTTTGGTAACTTTCTACCAAAATTTATTTTCCATGAAACTATGCTTCAATTGAGGAAAGAAGTACTTGATGTTCATTATAATGTTCAGTCATTTCGCAATTTTTATGGAAACGTCTTAAATGCCCTGTGCCATGGTAGAGACCATTGTTTTGTCTTCAAGTCTGCTAATGTTTTCGTTTTGGTTTTAACTCTAGCTGATCCTACAGTTAAGGACTTGATCGGAGGCTTCACTGCTCTTCATTATGCAGCTATGCATGGCCGGGCCCGGATCGCACGCCTGATGTTAGAGTCTGAATACAGGAGTGACATTATTAATGCCAAAAGTAATGACGGCTGGACTCCCCTCCATGTGGCTGCTCACTATGGGAGGGACTCTTTTGTCCGACTTCTACTGGAGTTCAAGGCGGAGGTCGACCCGCTCAGTGATAAAGGCACAACACCACTTCAGCTCGCTATCATCCGAGAGAGGTCAAGCTGCGTGAAGATCCTCCTGGACCACAATGCCAACATTGACATCCAGAACGGTTTCCTGCTGCGATACGCTGTGATCAAAAGCAATCACTCTTATTGCCGAATGTTCCTTCAGAGAGGAGCAGACACAAACTTGGGTCGCTTAGAAGATGGACAGACTCCTTTACATTTGTCTGCCCTTAGGGATGATGTGCTTTGTGCACGGATGTTATATAATTATGGAGCGGACACAAACACAAGGAACTATGAAGGACAGACCCCATTGGCTGTTTCAATAAGTATTTCTGGAAGTAGTCGACCATGTTTGGATTTCTTACAAGAAGTCACAAGTATGTAATTTCATTATTACTGTCATTGCATTTAAAATGTTCATCTTCTGAGGGGCTTTAGATGTTTTCACAACTTAAAATGACCAGACACTAATGATTCCTATTAGCCCTGCTTATTAATAAGTTATTATTAATATTCTACTTCATTCATCTGAAGTAAAAAGAAACTTCTAGATCACAGGGTTTCATACAAATTCAGTTGCATTACTGAAAGTAACAGGGGTATGTATATAGGTTGAGATAGGAAATGGAGAAAAGGACAGAGAGAAGAGAAATTTTTAAATTCACTAAGATCTGTGTTAGAACAAAGCAGTTCTTGCTGGTCATATACATAGTCGTTCAGGCTTTCATGGACTTCAGCTTGAGGAATGAGAAGGAGAGTTTGGGATTTTAGGTTCTATGTCTGTGTAAGTGTCCTAGAATTTGTGCTTTCTTGCTAAGCTGTTGCTCACCGTTTTATTGTTTCTTTGCTGGCTTCCTATGATGTGACCCCACATGAGATGAACAGCAGTGTTCCTGATTTAGGGATACTAATAATGCAGGTTAAGGATGCTAGAAGTTGTTGTAAGAAAAGATTTTTTTTGTCAGTAGGAAATTTGGTGCCACTGTCCCTGGTCCACATGACTTCCACTTTCGACACGGTTTTGTGTGGGCACTTCTTCTTAAAGCCTGGAGGCATATGACCTACCTCATGTTGTGGTGCACATGTTTGCATCATTTTTCCGGCAGGGGTATTGGTTTGTGCGGACACTGCCTCCTTCTCTTGCTGGATGTCCTGTGTGACTAGTCGAGTGTGTGTCTCAGAGCTCAGCTTCCAAACATGAAGCTAAAGTCTGTAAACAAAATATATGATTTTACCAACTGCTGCACTTTTTAGTGAATTCCTCTTTCCTCGCCTGATTTTTACCTTTCAGTCATTAATAAGGAAGAAATTAGGGTACCAGGTACCGAGGGGTAAGGAGTTTACTTGACCTTGTAGATAATCTGCCCCCTTGTTTGGAACTGAACTTGGGAGTAGAAATTTGCAGATTCTTTCAGCAAGTTTTCTAGCAGTCTAGAAATGAAGTATAATTTGAATTTTGTATGTTTGTAAAAAGGAAAAGACATTATCACCACTGGGTGTATACACACTAAAGCATAAAAAGAAATCACACTCAGGATCTAACATGTGCTGTCCAGTAGGTCTTTCTGCGTGGTCTGAAAATGGTCTGTCTGTGCTGTCCAATATGGTGGCTGTTGTACACTTGTTACATGGCTAACACCACTGAGGAACTGAAGGTTTTTAATGTTTATTCATTTTTTGAGAGAGAGACAGAGCATGAGCAGGGGTGGGGGCAGGGGGCAGAGAGAGAGGGAGACACAGAATCTGAAGCAGGCTCTAGGCTCTGAGCTGTGAGCACAGAGCCCAACGTGGGGCTTGAACCCATGAACTGCAAGATCATGGCCTGAGCCGAAGTTGGACGCTTAACCGACTGAGCCACCCAGGTGCCTCAAGGAACTGAATTTTTAATTTAACTGTATTGACTGTAATTACAAGCGCCTGGTGTTTCCCATGTTCCACAGTACAGGTCTGTGTGCCTTGGGAGAGGTGTTTTGGGCTGATTGGTAGGTGGTCCCTTGCTGAGAGCTTTCTAGGCACGGGACCTCTGGAGAGATGGGAGATGTTGTGTATGTTGGTTCCTCACCCACCAGTTTACTCTGACTCTTCAGATCCAGGCCACATTTTCTGAAAAGTTTGCTGTGAAATTTCAAGTGCTGATTCTTTTCAGCAAATTTTCTAGCAGTCTTCACGCATAGACTGGGAGAGGTATTGGTGTTATGAGAGAGAAGATTACTCTTGAACTTGAGCTTAGGATTCTGTCATGGTAAATAGCCTGTGAAGTATCTTTTATTCTTTATACATTCTGAGTATCTTTGTGTTCTTGCTGTCATTTTTGTCTTAACTTCTCACTAGAGACTCCTGGTTTTATTAGCGTGACTGCCTTCGGGAAGGCATATTATATACATAAATGCCTCAGCTCCTTTTGTTAAATACCTCACTCGGCAGTTAACAGCATCAACTAGAGCTAGGCGGCCCAAGCTCAAGCCCTGACTCTGCCACGTGTCAGCTTGGGCAGGTTACCCAACTGCTCTGTGCCCCAGTGTCCTCTTGTTAGCATTAGGATAATTATATCTGTTTTACAGGCTTGTCATGTGGATTAAATGAGTTAATATTTATAATGCACTTAAAACAGTGCCTGGCACATTTTAATGGCTATGTGTACTTTTCTAAATAAAATAATTAAACGGGAGTGGATGAACAGCAAAGGCTGGCTTGCTTCCAATAGAGCGAATCCCCTAGATTCTTATTCTCCCCTTGCTTCCTAATTTCAGCTCGGTGGACTCTTCTGTAGTCTGCATATGGAGACCCAAGGAGGGATGGGGGGCGCTGCCCTTTCCCATCAGCCTCAGAGCTGCTGAGTTACAGCACAGAGTGCTTCTGGGGAGCAAGACTGTTGAGTTACAGAGAAAACTCACAGGTACCTTTAAAATTAGGGGCACGTGGAAAGAGTTACGGGGTTGCCTCTTCGTATTTGAGATCTCCTGCTACACGTAGAGTGGAGCTGTGTACCTGGTAGGCCCTCAGGAAATGTGGGTCAGCTGGTTGACTGGTGGTTGGTGGCCGAGCAAACTTGGTATGCTTTTCAGAAGTGAAGGGCCATCAACCTTTTGAAGGCTACGGTATCGTTGTGTTCAGGTGCCTCAACATAGTCCATTCCTTGTTGACTCTCCAGTGATGTTTCCTGCCAAAACCAAAGTTAACGTTTCTGCTTGACCTGTGCATCATTTATTAGATTTTCTTTTCCTAGTGAGTAATTATCTGTTAGAAGAACCAACTGTAACTGATGCTTTTTGGAGCTCTCTACTGAGCTCTCTTGAAAGCCAGAGTGAAGGAAGGTCGGATAGTTCAGGGAGCACTAAGTCAAATCTGCAAGCTCCTTCTGGCCTCCACAACACCATTGAGCACCAGGCACCGAGCTGTTGGCTTCTAATCTGAGACCCCTGAGGTATAAGGATGGCAGAAATGCCACTTGGTGGTCTTTATTCAAGTCTCTTCTACTGTTCATTGCACCATTGTGACTAGAAGCAGTTTATTTAAGTTAGAAGAGCTCAAGACAGTTATAATCCTATGGAATCTAAACGCTACTGTGGCTTTTTAGAAAAATTGCCATAAAAACTCTGATACAAACCGCATAGAAACAGAACAGGTCGAGTGGCTTAGGTATAAACTAGTATCTGCTGGTGCCTTGTTGACTGTGGGTAGAGGCAGAAACCATGAAGAACTGCTGGTACTGTTCACCTGCAACCAGACTTCCAGAAACTTCTGTTTCCTAGAATGGCTGGAACTCGACATGGTCTCCTCCAGAAAACCAGTCAAGTGAAGGAGCAGCTTCTTTGTGCCCTGGAACAAGAATGTGGATCACTTTGCAGGAGGAAAGATGTTTCCAGCTTAGAGAAGCCAGTTTCTGTTCTTTTAGTTCTTTTACTTGGAAGAAAAAACGAGAAAGTGAACAACGGAACAATGCAGGTGTGACTGATCACAGGTAGAAATGGTAGTGGAGACAGTTTGCAGCAGACACCCATTTGTTGGTAGGGAGAGGTCCATTTAGGGCTGAGTCCCTGGATGAGGAGTTAAACAGCCCCTTGCACCAAAGCCAAGGCTCGGGTGAGGCAAGTAGGGTGCGGGTGCCTAGGGCACAAAATTTAAGGAAAAACTCATTTTCAGGATCATGCAAATGAACACAGGTAACTAAAGGAGAATAATTTGCACATAGCGTCAAACACCATTACGGAGCAAAGAGGATCCTGGAAGCTCTGGTCTATGGAAATGGGCTCAAATTCTCCAGCCTGAGGGAAGAGCAGAACATTGTAGGAATGTTTGCCCAATTCAAAAAAGAAAGTAAACATTTATGAATAAAAAAAGGGCAAGCACAAGAAAATGTTAAAACAGGTACAGTATTAAACGTGGATAAAGACTATTTCATCAGTAAAGTTTACCCTGAGGATATGGTTAAATAATAACCAAACTCAGCCTGAGCTATTCGATTGTAATCCAGTGCTCTTTTACCCCTTATCATCTCCCTGTGCCATAATGTAAATTCCCCTCCCTCCTCAACATACCTACTGACGAAGGAGTTATTCGGAATGTAAAATCTTTGAAGAGAGAGGAATTCCACAGGAAAGCTGAACCTCAGGCATTGACCAGCAAGAACATTTAAACTTATGGGGGGACAAAAAGGGATTTTAATTACCTGCATGCCTGGAATTTTGTTTGGAGAGAAGTAGTGAGGAACTTAGTTTCAGGGGAAAGCCTACTTCTTCATGCTCAGGCACAGATCACACATGTGGTCGCCATGGACTTTCTTCAGCCAGCCACCTCTGCAGGAGAAGGCCTCAGGACTGAACAGAACTGGTACCTGCAGCTCCTTGTGCACAAGGGTGTGGAAATTGGAAGAAGGTTTTAGAGAACAGAGTCAAGTCAGAGTAGAGAGGGCAGTAAACAAGATGTCTCCCTGCTGGAGAGCGCCACTTGAACAAGATGACTCCCTGTTGGAGAGCGCCCCCTGAGAGGAGGCTGCCTCCATGTCTGATAGGCTGGACTGTTTGAAGAACGGGTGCCGTGTTGTGCTGCCTGCCGAGGAAATCCTTCAATTGTAAGGCTTACCCTTTCTGCACAAGAAAGAAATGTTCCGAAGGCAAAGTGGAATCAAAGACTTGTGCAAGCAGCAAGGTCAAGAGCTATTGGAGAGGTTGCGCTCGTCACCCATTCCTTACTTTGCCAGTGACATCCACGTCTATACTTACTGTGTGGAATCTACCTCTGCAGAGCTGCTATTTCATTAAGGCATTAGACAGGCAAGATTTTACCACCACCATCAAATATTTTCGTTAGTTTTAAAAGAGCAATCATAGTTAAATTGCCTGTCTGATAATTCCAGCATCTGTGTCATAGCTGAGTC